CTCCCCCCGGGACCGCGGCGCCGTCACAAAAACCCCGGCGCCCCGAACCCCAGCGCGGTGGAAGGAGGGCAGCCCGCGCGCACCCTTGTTGCACTTAGCAGCCCGGACAGATCACAAACTCCCCGGCGTGGGACGCCTGCTGCTTTCCGGGCAGCTTTCTCCCTCCTTGTCTAAGGCAAATGGGCTGGATGGAAGGAGAAAAAGGAAAGTTTGGGGTATTTCCACTGCCCGAAGTCACCCTTAGAAAGAAGCCTGGACCCAGTGGCCCTGGACTAGTTTCAAGGCTCATTCAAACCCCTGTCTGTAGACGCCTAAAGCCGTTTCTCCCCTTGGGTGAATCGCGGTCATTGTATCCGCTTAGAGATTTTGCCAGAAGAGGCAACAGCAACACATGCTCACGTAGGAGCCGGCCGCCCCACGCGAGCATTCCTTGGCCCTGGGCTGTGGCCCCCGCCGGGCACAGCTCCACACCCCAACACCTGTGCTTCCATGGCTGTGGGATGGTCCTACCTACCCAGCCAGGAAACATGGAAAATCATGGATCAGGGATGTGGGTGGCTGGCGGGGTGGGTGGGTGCAGCCTTTGCAGAGAGGCAGTAAGGGTAACCCCTGTTATTATTAATGGGCACACTCTGCCCGGGGACTTATGCACTGGTAAGGTTTTCTGCCCACCCAGAACCAGTAAGCAGCCAGAGCGTCCCTGGCAAACTCAACATCACAAAAGGCCAAAGATCGAAGGGGCATGCCTGTGCTGTTATAAAATGTCAGGACCACTGTGATGTCAGGGGAGCAAAAGATGGGATGAGCTTAGCAAAGCAGGAAGGGCATTGCCAACCGGCCGCTGCTAATGCCTCCTTCGCTGCCAGAACGCAGGACGTGCCACTTTCACACAGAGGCTGCGGCCCGTCGGCTCTGTGAGTGTGCAGGGCAAACTTGCTTGAGAAAGGAGCTTCTTCCTGAGAGAAGCCACCTTGGAAAGCCTGCTTCTGATGATTTTATCAGAAGCTAAGATGGGGGGGTTATTCCTTGGGCAAGGCACCACCCTCAGAGGCTGGCACTGAGGTCGGCTGTGGGAGGAGCTCGTCCTGGCTCCTGGGGGTAATTCGGGTGTGCGCCGTAGGTCTGTTTCTGAAAAGGTCCCGTGTACTCATTGTTCTTTGCATCCATGGAGAGTCAGCGGTTCTTTGAAGACGTTCTGAAGTTCCTTGATTTTCCAGTGCTGGATGCAGGCAGGGACCAGACAGCCATTAAGAGCTACTTTGGGACAAGAGTGCCACCAGTGTTTCTCCGGTGGCTTGGAAGCGAGCCTGTAACTGAGCGGGTACATCCTAGCTGTGAATAATCTGAGAGACAGAGATTGAAAGCCAGACACGTGAGGTCAGCCCCGACTCTAAATGCTCCTCAGCGGGTGGAACCCCACCCTCACCATTCTAAACAACCACCTCCAAGAGGCGTTTCTACTTAATCTTAGGTCTAAGAGCAATAGAGTGCCTCAAATGTCGCCATGGAACACAGGGAATGTCAACTCAGACTTCTGTTATCTTATTTTTAGGAGACTTGGGCCAGCTATAGCTTTAATCCCAGTAGTGTTCTGAAGTTAAAATAAGAAAAAGAAATAACCACAGCAGTACTATATTTTTTTTGTTGGTACATGTATGTGCACATAAATGCTTAGAAAAAGGTCTGGAAACTCTGCCAGAAAAAAAATAATGATTTTATTTTGCCTGTAATGTGGTTTCCAAGCACCCGTCTCTGCCTTGCCAGGCTTTGAGTGGCTCAGGGCACACCTGTATCAAAGCTGCAATTTCGTGGCTGGGGCCTGATCACAGGGTGCCCAGTGTGGGCAGTTGGGTGACGGCTGGCATCTTAACAAAACTCTTGAGGACTGCTTTGCTTAGAAACCACACTCCCTGTTCGATTTGTTTTTACTACCTCCTTGCAGTTTGTTTAAGTCCTGACACGGGAGGGAAATAGACTGTGTGTTTTCCTGCCCACCACTTCCTCAAGTTGTAAGTGAATGTTCTTGGGTAAAAATCACAGCCTCTGTGCTTCCCAGGTGCCATGTAAAACAGGAGGCTGAAACTAGGAAAGCAGGAGGACAGAGGTGTCTGTCAGGATGAGCCTGCATTTACATATTCCTCTATAATGGGCCTTATTGGATATGCTCTGGTTCCTTTTGAGGGATTAAAATCAACCTCTCCTTTTGTAACCCCACCTCCTCACTGATG